GCTGAATCTCTTCCTGACTGATGGACACTCTTTGAGGCTAGCTGAATCTCTTCCTGTGTGGGACCTTACAAAGCGATCTTTTCAAGACTACCTTACAAATTGAGCTTTTCCTATAATCGTTTCAATACTACTTTATGCTTTACAAGCTTGGCTACATACCACCTACAAGTACTAAAGCCAAGAGTGCACGCGAGTGCGTTATTTGCAAGCACACATAACGATGAAACAGGAAGCAAAAATCTATCTGTAGCTGGTGCAAGGAGAGCAAAGTCGCGCTGTGTACCATGGACTACTTCGTTGACTATTATGCACCTCCAAAGTACTGAGTGTGTAATACAGTGTGTTACTGTGTAAATAGTATGTGAAACTGTACATATTGTAATATTAGTGAATTTTTACCACGTAATATTGTGACAATAAACATTTATTGTGGACACATTACTGACACATGTATCACAGTTTCATGGAAAATTATGAACATTCTACTGTATACATATTGTAAAGGTCACAAATATGCATCATATACGATAAAAGAAACAAATAAAACCGCATGGGAAATGCATAGAAAAAATATTTGAAAATATATTTGTGGCAATACGCGGTGCTTGAATGGCCTGCGCGACCGTGTCTGGGAGCTTCACACACCGGCGACCAGCCCCTGATGACGTCACAGCACACCTTGTCCACGCCCTCACAGCCAAAGTAAGTGGAATTTGGTAATTATTTTTACATAGACATGTTCAGGGACGGTAATTTATCATTTTACAAAGAAAAATTATATTTTGGGGAACATTTGATGTCATGCACACTGGGGAAATTTCACAATAAACACAGTGCATCACACTGGTTACATGGGGGACACTCGTTTTGTATGACGTCCGTTTCACATGACGAACATGGAACGGATTAAATTCGTTATGCGAGGTACCACTGTACTTTGGTATAAATATAACTGAAGTGAAAGTGAAGATATATGCCTTTTTATAGTTACTTGATGGCTCGCTCAGGGAGTGTGAAGGCCTGCACACACGCCAATCAATTTTATAATTAATGTACATATATGTAAAGTAACATCAAAGGTCTTTATTTCAGAATAAAGACATATGTAGACGATAATGTAAATACATTTCAAGGAAAACATCTTAAATGAAAGCAAAGATATGGTCAAATAAATAGCCAATACCACACCATCACCAGTGTCCGGACACATGAATAGTCGCATTAGGTGAAAGGAAATGTACCCAACTATTTCCATTTACGCAACCAGTTTCCGTTCTTTTGTTCTTACTTACATTTATTGAAATTTATCATCATCATCATTTACAGAAAGAAATTAACAAAAATGTAGTAATTTTAATACACAAAACAGAAGTAGATATGTATGTAAATTATGACGCAGGATAGGATCACTATTGCAGAACTATTCGCATACTTTGCGTCATTATATACAGTACTGGAATTTAATAAAAATCGCGTAATTCAGAGATAACACCATCATTGGTGTCCAAGAAGTGTAAGTACTTCATTTATAATGATGTGCTGCCCGAAATCTTAGCGAAGTATCTAAAATTTGCTTACTATAAGTAATTCCTGCAAATGATTGTAAAGCTGCCGCCCAGTTGGGTGGGTGTAGAGCACATGATTGTAAAGCTTCCGCCCAGTTGGGTGGGTGTGCAGCACATGACTGTAAAGCTGCCGCCCAGTTGGGTGGGTGTAGAGCACATGACTGTTAAGCTGCCGCCCAGTTGGGTGGGTGTAGAGCACATGACTGTTAAGTTGCCGCCCAGTTGGGTGGGTGTAGAGCACATGACTGTTAAGCTGCCGCCCAGTTGGGTGGGTGTAGGGCACATGACTGTTAAGCTGCCGCCCAGTTGGGTGGGTGTAGAGCACTTGACTGTTAAGCTGCCGCCCAGTTGGGTGGGTGTAGAGCAAGACTAGTAATTGGACGACTCACCATAGCACCTCCAAAAGATACCTGATCAACCAGGCTGTGACTCATACGTCAGGCTGCGAGCAGCCGCGTCCAACAGCCTGGTTGACCAGTCCAGCAACCAGGAGGCCTGGTCGACGACCGGGCTGCAGGGACGCTAAGCCCCGGAAGCACCTCAAGGTAACCTCAAGGTAACCAAGGTAGATGTACAGTGCCTAGTATAGTGACTTGTGAGCCTCTTGTTGAATCACTTGTGATACAAAGATTATTGATGTGTGTATTTGTGTGAGTGATTGAATATGTATGTGAATGTATATGGAAAATGTATGCGGAATGTATGCGGAAAATTCCATATTTCATTTCTCTGGATTTTCCGCATATGTATATATATGTACATGTATGATTATATGTACATGTATATATAACATTAATAATTGTGAAGATTGTTATTTATCTAAAGATTGTCAAAAGATTGTTACTTGCTTAGCTAAACGAACTAGAGAGTTCAGTTCCTGAATCGATTATGTGCCTCCCTAACCCTTTACACCACCGCCCACGGGATGGGTATGGGGTGCATAATAAAGAACAAAAATGAAAAATATTATGAACTTAATTATAAACCACAATATGTTCTATATCATCAGAAATTCTGAAACATACCATATATTTTCAAATATTTGCAATTAAAGTATTTATTTAGGAAATTAGTATTTTAGTTACCCTAGTTAGCTCTGAGAATACACATTCTTGCAGCAAGAATTTCTTCCCACTAATCTGAGAGATGCTAATGAGACCAGTCTCGACCCACTGGACAGGTCATGAACAACAATCAACTACAGCACCATCTATGTCAGAAGATATTCAAAATATTCTTGATATCATTCAAATTGTCAATACGAGAGCAGAATACATAAGTTGAGTGATGTCAAAGGAATCATATTGACTGACCGAGCCCCACTGTAAATATGAAGGCCTTAGCATGCTGTGAAAAGGGAGTGGGAGTCCCTGTGCTACGAATGATATACTTGAGTACTGTGAGATCTCTTATTGATTATGCTGCACCTGTCATTTCTTGTTTTGGTAAAGGTAGGATGGGCAAGTTGGAGAAGGTACAAAATGAAGCCATGAGAATTATCTTAGGATGCTCAAGAAATGCTATGATTGAGATAATGAGGATGGAGTTGAATCTGCAGATTCAAGTTCAAGTTCAAGTATGTTTATTGAGATAAGCAATAAATACATCTCAAAGGGATAGAGTAGCTTAGGCTATTTCTACCCCCCTCTACTTCAAGTCCCTCAAGGGGCGCACAAATGCAGTGAGTACAAATAGACAAATAACATTACAAGAATCCCATTTAACATTGCATGAATCTGCAGAGTATTGAGATTAGAGAATTATTTCGAGGCTGTAGTCACTGAACTGTGGTGACAAAATTGAACGAAAAACGCATGGTGCCGTGTGTACAGGGATTAGACCTGTCCACTCACGCTGGAGTTGTTCCAATAACATACTGTAATTTCTCAAAGAGCAGATGTCTATCATATTACAGTACATTTTCAGTTTTATTTAGTTTAGTTTAATTAGAATAATGAAAAGCTATTAAAACACTGGTTTTAGAAATGATTTATTAATCTGAAACTTTTAAAGTCATGAGTCACTGAACTATGACGACACAGATGAAAGCGAGTGAAACCTCACTGTAAAGTGAGGTTTACAATACAGTATTCTCTTATCTGTCCACTCTCACTCATCTTGTTTCATCACAGAAAATGTCTATAAGGAGATTTTACCACATGTAGCTAGGTAATCACGCTTCAGCCTTTAAATTAATGTACAAAGATACGTGTGCCAGAAATCAGTGAATGAAAATACTGAAAACTCAGTCGTTCACTTGTGTGGACCACTCTGGCTGGTGTTTGGTTCATATGGTTCACTTGTTGTGTGGTCCACTTGTGTGATCCAACTTGTCTTAAGAAGGAATTATTAACTGCAATCTGTGATAGAATGAGAAAGTTTTCCACCACTCTGTGACCTCTGTCCCCACATCGTAAGCTTGTGGACCACTTGTGGTCCACATGTGTGGTCCACTTGTGTGGTCCACTTGTGTGGTCCACTTATGTGGTCCACTTGTGTGATCGAACTTGTCATATGAGGGAATCATTAATTATATTCCGTGATAAAATGGGAAAGTTTTCCACCAGTCAGTGAACTCTCTTTGGACATTGTAAGCACCCAGTCCCTACCCAGTAAGCAAATACCAGTCCCTACCCATGGCCAAACAAGGGCCCCAAGCCCCAGCTGGCCCCAAGGGTGAGGCAAAAGCCGAGCAGCAAGAACCTTTACGGGAATGGTTCCCGAATGCCCCAGGGAAGATAACCCTGTCACGCAGGGGCAGTACTCACAGGGCGCTTAGGGAAGGAAGCCCCTAAGTGCATGCAGCCCTGGTACACCTGGCCACCGCACAACACAACACACGGCAGTAAACGCCATAAAGGCAAACACCGCCTAGGAAACTAAGGCCAGAGAAGCGTCTGTCCTGTCTGACATTAGCTTATGAACTGGTGCTAGGCAGCTGGCACGGTGAGGTCTGGGGCTCCTACTCTTGGGGCAAGGAGGGCAGCGCGGACAATCGGCGCACCAGTAAAGTGTGATGTTTGCTTGTTTCCTTGGGATTGTTTCTATCTCTCTGTTTGGATTTTTTGTTTTAGTTTCTTACCATGTGGGGTTTGTTTTGTTATGCCTACCTTTCTGGGTGCCTAACCCCGGTCGATGGCAGATAAGGAAAACCCCCAACAACAGGGAGGTTTTCCGGGGCCATTGCTCCCTGAAACCTCTCTGAAGGGGCCAGATTCTGGCGCTGGTCCCTGGTAGGTCTGAACTCCATAGCTAATGTCCCGGTCTAATATAACATACATTAGCCCGATAAGCTCCAGGGAGCCGTAGGGGCTCCCCACAGAAAACATAATGTAGGGAAGTATAAAACAAAATATACAAAACCTAAAAAAAAAAAAAAAAATAGCCATCTAAGAAAATTTATTAATTAATAACTATTTAAAATCAATACTGTACCTCAGTTTTTTGCTGAGTGTGCATCTTTTCATAGATGTTTATGCACTTCATTGCAAACTTGTATGCTTTTTTCAACCGTTTTACTCTATCAACGGCATTTCTATGAGATTCACTTCTGCAATTCGCTGACTCTGTAAAACAGGTGAAAGATTAGTTAAATATCCAATTCTAAAATTACATGAAACAAAGGCCTTCTATAAGCTATATTGTACAATATTTAAATATATATATTGTTTGATATTTAATATTTAACAAAATTAAATATCAAAGATACCCTCAGTTACACTCTGTGTTGGGTTTATTGTAACAAATGGCTAAAATGCTAACACAGTACAGATAATGAATTACAGTATACTAATGTTACAGTATTCATGTACAGTACAGTATTGTATTGTACTTATGTACAGTACACTCCTGTACTGTACAATTAAAAAATATGGAGTACGGAATTAAATATTTTATTAAAAACCAGCGTTGAAAGTAATGAAACGCCATTTTCTGGGCGAGTCCCGGAGGTTCCTTGAAGCTATCAAACTGACATGTGCTATATTAGTTTGGTGCCATCAATCTCTGGAGACAAGAGCCAGAACCAAGGTCCCCTCAAAGAGGCGCAGAGAGACCATTATTAGCTTTCAACATTTAGAATATGTCAGTATACTTCCTCACATCAAGAGCATGAGGGTAGACTGCAGGCTGGCTAGACTTGATAACTCTGCAGACAACCTGAGAGAGACAAGCCCTGGAATAGGGAACCAGGGAAACGGATGAACCCAGAGCACGTCCACTGTCGCCATATGAGTGGCATGCAGGTAGCGATGTAAAGTCGCAACTGGACACAAAACATAATGTATCCCTGGCCTAACCAACCAAACATCAACAACCCACGGAACCCTCCGGAAACCAGCCATCTCATTCTTTGCCAGAAATGATGGAGAGGGCTGTAAATGAACAAAATGACCCACAGGACCAAAAGAGCAGAAACCCCTGCACTGGAGATGAGCATGAAGCTCCCTAACCCGACCCCCAGAGGCTAGAGCCAACAAGAACAAGGCCTTCAAAAAACAATTTGGACTGAATGGGTCATTACAAACTTAGGAGAGGAGAGAAACGAAAGCACCTGATCCAAAAACCAGGAAAACTCAGAAAGTGCATGAGCAGGCCAGAGGTGGAAAAACTAACAGGTGTGGACGTGCTACTTGCTCCCATGCAAGTAGCACCTGAAATCAAGGCTGGGCCGGCCACCATGGAACCAGGAGAACCACTCTCCTACAAAAGAATTCGAGCCGAGCCAGAACCCAAAGCAACAGCTGGACCGGAGGATAAAGGTACAGGAATCCCCCCCTCAACCATTCCTGCTGGAAAGCGTCTACTGAAAAAACCTCGCCATTGGGAAAAGATGCAACGTAAATGGAAGCGCCAGGACCTGGCTGACGCGAAGCAGCTCACCTCCAGGTGCCCGAACGTCCGACATTCGAATGAAGGAAAACAGGTCGTCCACCACGACGTTGGACACTCCCTGAATGTGAATGGCATGGAGAGTGAACCCCAAGAACTCAGCAGAAGAGCCACCCAAGGTATGTCAAGTTTTGTGAAATATATGATAAAGGCACAAAAAAATTTATACCAAAACAGAGAGGCAGAACTAGGAAACAGGATTAGTTCAACAGAAATTGCGTGAGGGCCAGAGACCAAAAGACACAAAAATGAAATCAATACAGGAAGAGGCCAAACCCCCAAATTATGTACCAGCGATACAAAGATGCGAGAAACAACTACACGGCAGTGAGGAGAGAGGCAGAAAGAAATTTTGAAAAAGGGATTGCAGACAAATGTAAAACAGAACTAGGTCTATTCTATAAATTCATAAACAACAAATTGCAGGTAAAGGATAATATTCAGAGGTTGAAAATAGGAAATAGATTCACGGAAAATAAAAAGGAAATGTGTGAAATATTAAACGAAAAGTTCCAAAGTGTGTTTGTACAAAATGAAATCTTCAGAGAACCAGACACAATAAGAATTCCAGAGAACAACATAGAGCACATAGAGGTGTCTAGAGACGAAGTGGAAAAAATGCTCAAGGAGCAAAATAAGAACAAAGCAGTTGGTCCAGATGGAGTTTCACCATGGGTTCTGAGAGAATGTGCACCTGAGCTCAGCATTCCACTTCAACTGATTTTTCAGGCATTCCTGTTTACAGGAGTTGTAGCTGATGTGTGGAAAAAGACTAACATAGTTCCAATCTACAAAAGTGGAAGCAGGGAAGACCCCTTTAATTATAGTCCTGTATCATTGACAAGTGTAATAGTCAAAAAATTGGAAAAAATAATTAAAACTAAATGGGTAGAACACCTGGAGAGAAATTATATAATATCAGACAGACAGTATGGTTTTCGATCTGAAAGATCCTGTGTATCGAATTTACTCAGTTTCTATGATCGAGCAACAGAGATATTACAGGAAAGAGATGGTTGGGTTGACTGCATCTATCTGGACCTAAAAAAGGCTTTCGACAGAGTTCCACATAAGAGGTTGTTCTGGAAACTGGAAAATATTGGAGGGGTGACAGGAAAGCTTCTAACATGGATGAAAAATTTTCTGATAGAAAAATGAGGGCAGTGATCAGAGGCAATGTATCGGACTGGAGAAATGTCACAAGTGGAGTACCACAGGTTTCAGTTCTTGTACCAGTGATGTTTATTGTCTACATAAATGATATTCCAGTTAATATACAGAATTAAATGAACATGTTTGCTGATGATGTTAAGATAATAGGAAGGATAAGAAACTTAGATGATTGTCATGCCCTTCAAGATGACCTGGACAAAATAAGTATATGGAGCACCACTTGGCAAATGGAATTTTATGTTAATAATTGCCATGTTATGGAATGTGAAATAGGAGAACATAGACCCCACACAACCTATATATTATGTGAGAAATCTTTAAAGAATTCTGATAAAGAATGAGATCTAGGGGTGGTTCTAGATAGAAAACTATCACCTGAGGACCACATAAAGAATATTGTGCGAGGAGCCTATGCCACACTTTCTAACTTCAGAATTGCTTTTAAATACATGGATGGCGATATACTAAAGAAATTGTTCACGACTTTTGTTAGGCCAAAGCTAGAATATGCAGTGGTTGTGTGGTGCCCATATCTTAAGAAGTACATCAACAAACTGGAAAAGGTGCAAAGACATGCTACTAAGTGGCTCCAAGAACTGAAGGGCAAGAGCTACAAGGAGAGGTTAGAGGCATTAAATATGCCAAAACTAGAAGACAGAAGAAAAAGAGGTGATATGATCACTACATACAAAATAGTAACAGGAATTGATAAAATCGATAGGGAAGATTTCCTGAGACCTGGAACTTTAACCCTTACACTGCTCAGGGGTCATATGGACATTTACACCCCAGTGCGCAAGAAAAAAAAAATTCAAAATTTTTTTTTCGTCTTCTAAACATGTTGATTTGAGTCTCCTGAGCACGGGAAAAATAATAAAAAAATTCTATTATACATACCAATGACACAATTGAGCCGAGAAGTTGGCCGATGACGTCACAGAACGTGAGCGCTCAAGGGTGCTGCGTCAGCCAGCTGTCACTCGCGCCGCTCACGCGGCCCGAGTTGCCGCGAATTTATTTTCGCGGAATTATTTACAGTATTCTTGGGTCATTTTACACAATTTTTTTTCGCTAGTATTGTTCCAATTATTAGCAATAGACGTTGTATTATAATAAAAATGGTATAAACTCACTAGGCGCTCACATATTAGTGTCACAAGTATGCCCACCAAAATGGTATAATTTACAGGAAATATTCAATGTATTTGGATTTTTTTCAATATAAACACAAAAATAAACTTGATATGTACATTTATTTACCAAAGAATTACACATTTAGTACTCCAGGAGACTGTGATACTGTGCGAAACAGTCGATATAGCACAGAGGGACGGCACACGCTTCGCACCATGTCAACACCAATTTATGTTTCTGTGGCCTCAATTTGGTACTGGAACACACAACATACCGACGCTGGCCTGCTGCACGAGCTCCAGTTGGTGGTAATTTCTTGATTTGATGTATCAGAAAGGCCTCCCTGTAAGCGAGCCTGGGTGCAGGAGCATGGTTCAGTATTGGGTCTCGAATGGGTCTTTGTATGCCAGGTGTGTCCTTGCCAAATTTACCTAGCAACTGTTTCACAGTTGGTGAGGGAGGAGCATCGTCTGCACGACTTGGCATGGTGTTTACTGATGGCCACTATGGTCTTTGGGCACCATACCAGCTTATTTGTTCAGGTATAGTGAATAAAACAGGTAGATACTTATATATAATGTGTGTATATAGCGTAATAACACCACAAACAATATTGTTGGAGGACAAATATTAGTGCATCTGGCCTTGAGGGCGGCCGCCGATCAGCTGACTGTGTGAGTAGCTACGTTTTATGGCCTTTACTCACCATACAAGCTTAGATGTACAGTTATGGTGAACAAAACATGTAAATACGTATATATAACGTTTGTGTATAGTGAATAAATACAAAAGAGTATTGTGGGAGGTGAATGAGGGTGAGTGTGGTGGTGTTGAGGGAGGGAGTGGCAGTGAGTGGCTCGCTGGTGTTTGGCGGTCACTCCTCGTTGCTTTTTGACTCACAAGACCAACTTAGTAGTTCGTTATGGTGTACAAAACATGCAAATACTTATATATAACCTGTGTATATAGTGTAACAACAGCAAAACTATTTGTTTATTGTTTTATGAACATAATAATTGAATCACTAATATGAACACCATAATTTTGAGTACAGCGATGGTTCACACATTTTATAATATAAATATACCACAATTCACTGTATGGAATAATATTACTGCAAAAAAACTAAGAAAAAATCAGAGACATTGAAATAATTAGGTAATATTTGTGGCAACTGCCGTCTGACAGCTTGGGCTGAGTAGACCTCGTCTGGCGAAGGCTCTGCCAACGCCCCTTTTTTGCTACACTTCCCTACCCTATTGCGGCTAAAATATGCCACCTACGATTTTTTTGTTATTTTTTCCGTGATCAGGGAACAAAAATGAACACTTCTATAAGACGAAAGAATTTTTTTGGATTTTGTTTTTTT